AAGTGTATGATTTTGTCCTCTCAATGCAGTAAATTAAATGCACTGCAATGAAACTGAAAATAGTCTTGTACCATTGGTGCTACATTCCAGTATTGTGAAAAAACATTCCACCTTATGCACAATAATAATAATAATAATCCTTGCATTTGATATAGCACTTTTCACGTCTTCTAGATGTCCCAAAGCGCTTCACAGAACACACTGTAAAGTGAATTGACTGTATATTTGTGGGCGAACGCGGCAGCCAATTGCGCACAGCAATGTCCCACAAACAGTCGTAGATTGAAAATGACCAATTTATTCTTGTTTTTGGTTTTGGAGGGATTATTATTGGGCGTGTGGAGTAAGGAAACTTGGCCAAGGTTTCGCCCTGCCTGGAATTGAACTCAGGTCTCTCGCTTGCAAAGCGAGTGCTCTAACCACTGAGCTACAGGACTCCACAAGAAGTGCAGCAAAGTTACTTTGCAAAGAAAGTTTCATCATCCGTACTATTTGTGCGTAGTGCACGAAATAATAATCATCCTTGCATTTGGTGTAGCATCTTTTACATCAGAAGGAAATGACAAAAAGCACTTCATAGGATTTGCCATGAAGTGGAATGACTGTATTTGTAGGTAAATGAGGCAGCACAATAGTGCACTGCATTGACCACAAACAACCATGAAGTGAATGATTAATTTTATTTGGAGGATTGTTAGCCAAGACAAAGGAGAACCTCCTCTTATCATGGGTCCTTTCACAACCATCTGAACAGGCAGATAGGACGTAGGTTTAACATCTCATCCGAACTGATAACAGTGCTTCGACAATTAATAGTCGGCCTTACACATTGCTTTTAAGAAAGACTCTGAGGGTTTAGTCTCAGAGGACCGCATTATAATGTATCTCCCTTGAATATACATTATATGAATATAATATATATTCTCCAATGTGAAATCAGAATGTTAAATATTCAAGCAAGGAAAAAAAACAATATTAACGCTTTCAATCTATCATTTATGCTTTGGTCAATTACAGATCAAATATTTAAATTGCAAGAAACTGCACCTTGTGGGATGAGAAAATTAATTTGTAGTGCATCGAGTGTTAATGCTTAAATTTAAAATTTCAGGAAATTGTGATGCAATTATGTTGGTTGGAAATTGACTAAAATAATCAGGAAACAATGATATTGACCTTTTTTAATATTCAATAATTGATGAAAATAAACTTTCTGTTAAGTATTTTTAATATGAAAAAACAATAACAATGGCTAATTGGGGTCATCAGCTTGCCACAAACATCACTTCCTTTGCACTTGAGCAGAACTCAGGAATGCACTGACAAAAATTAAAAAGACTAATATTCACTTTCAAAAACAAGAAAAAATAAAGATGTAAACCAACCCGAGATAGAATTCCATTCTAATGTTACTGTACAAATATTAGCAGTAATGATAATAATCCTTGGATTTGATAAAACACCTCAGCATGTTGTCAAAATGTCTTAAAGAATTTCATGATTTACTGTAGTGTAGCGACTGTGTATTTTGTAGGTTAAGTTGGTAGACAATTTGGGCACTCAAATAGCATGAAGTGACCAATTTTATCGGGAAGATTGTTAAAACTGCATAGCTAATATTTCGGAGCACTGATAAGCTTCCCATTTTTTTTCCAGCACTGTATGAAGCACTGTCTGACATGATTCCTGCTGCTTACCGAGCTAGGATCATCCTACCTGTTAGAGCTTTGGCTTGCAGGGTTAACAGGAGCCAAGTGGGAAGAATCCCTCCCCCAGAGACTGGTCTGCCCCTCCAAGTCCTGCCAATGAGCCAGACTGGCTGTGTTGGCATCAAGAGTGCCCCAAGTACTACCGACTCACTTGCCTTAGGAGGTTAACTTAATTATGATACTCACTACCTTGCATGTTACCTTGTAGCCAGCTCGGCCCCAATGAGACCAGCTATTTCTCCCACCCTCCCTTGAAGTTAGCCACGAGTTTGACTGTTTGCTATCTGGCAAATGCAGGTTTCACCTCACAAAATTAATAAAAGGTTTGGGGAACTCCGTGCAAGTTTCCTGGTGAGCAGCAAACTCAGCATGAAATACATAATGATAATAATAATGTTCCTTGCATTTGATATAGCACCTTATCACATGAGAGCATTACCCCCATTCTCCTATACATATCTTATGATACAGATTCTGCTCATCAACAGATCTTTGTTAAGAGACATATGTTTCTCAGAATTTGACGATTGGGTGCAGAATTTATGCCACAAGCAATTTATTTTTTAAAATCTTGTGCAATTCAGCACAATATTTCTTGAATACACATAGATCGAACTTGTGATGCCATGAAAAGTCACATATCTGACCAACTCACCATCCATTCTTTCATAAATGAAAGAGAGAAAAAACTTGGATTAATATTGATTTAGAATTTTAACATTTAAGATTTTTTTTCAAACATTAAGTGTTCATTTTATTACACGTAATGGGAATACAGGTTTGAAAGTTGAAAGCCTGTCTTTATTAAAGACATTCTGCTGATACAATGAGTTGAATTTTGTACAGCTTTGCATGTATGTTTGTGTAAAGCAGTCAGACACAATTTAACATGATGAGCTTGGAGAAGTAAAGCAGACCACAGCCATTCACAAGCAGATATGGACTGCCAATCAGTGAGGGCGGCGGAAGAAGAGGGAAAAAGGGAGGGAATGTGAGAATTCAAATCGCGATTGATTGACAGCTAGAGCCACTTGTGAATGAGTGGAGCACCCATCCATTCACAAGTGGCTCCAGGCCTTCCATCAACTGGGAGTCGTTGCTAATTGATCCATGTCCCATCCAATGGGACACCACTTAAGTTGGACAAAATGGCCAGCCCCGATATGTCCGGCTTAAGCAGCTTCCACTGCACTTGCGATAGCAAGCTCCGAATGAACATGATCCATTAAAAGTCTTTTTTTTGGTCAGCCGGGAGTCTTACAAATGCGGAAACCCATCACCATGCTTAAAAACATCCAAAGCAAACTGAGAATTCAATGCATCCCACCTTCCAATGGAAATCCCGGAGATAGATTGTTGGAATGGAATGCGGACTCTCTCCCTGGAGGGACACATCCTGTAGAGGCCGAAAGATAACTTCCACATGACCAAGTTCTATAACAATTTACTGATTGAACAAGACGCTTCTGAGGTAGACTCATTTTGTGCTACCATGCTTGAACCAAGCTACAATAGAGAGCTAATTATCTACAGAATTGGAATCGGCTCCATACGCAAACATTGCGATAATTGGACATTACATATAATACAAATTTGGCTTCAGAACAATTGTGCACATTGAACATTATTCAGGAATTCTACAGTCACTAAAGTACAACACTAGACCAGGCCTTCTCACTGCCAATTTCTCTCCAACTATCTCTTTCTCTTACACTAACCTTTTAATCTATCCCAAGTTCCCTCCCCTAAAACCCTCTCTCCTTCTGAGAGCTTCTCTTTAACTTGCCCGAGAGCTTCTCTCCACTCCTCCCTCCCAGAACTTCTCTTCCATCTCTCCCTCTGAAGCCTTTTCTACTTCCCTCTCTCTTTTATATTTTCCAACAAAATACTATAGAGCTTAGATCAACAATAACTTTTATAGAACATCCTTCTCAACATTTGGGGCAGAATACAGATGTCAGAAACGTAAATCTATGTTTTATGGAGTCAACTCTCACAGTATAGTCTCCCCCCCTCATCTGGTATCACATCCATCCCAGTATAACTGCAACCTAGAGGTGTGGTAAATTTTTAAACTCAAAATTTCACAGGTTATCGACTGAAACATTCATAATTTGTATTTTGTTCGCCTTCTAAAGGTACGATTCACAATACAATTATACAATTGCATCCTGTGATATATTGTAACTGTAAGTGGCCATATTTCAGATGCAAGAGGTAAAAGCTTGCTCCGATGTAGGGGCATCACAAAAGAGCCTCATCATGTCAGCATTGATAATTGCAGATGTGACTTTTCCAGCTGGGATCAACAATAACCAAGCACTCAGACATTACCCGATATGAAGGGTTCTGTATTGCAAGTTGTTGAATAGTGCTGGAGAACAAGAACCCCATCTGATTATTCCTTGAGGACATTGAGCCTCTTAACAACAACAAATTGCACTTATGTAGCGCCTTTGACATTAGGAGGATATTCCAAGGTGCTGAACAGTCAAGGATTTGCAGCCATTTGGGGATTGGATTCGAGAGAGGTGGGGGCCAATTGGCATGGAAGGGGGGGAAGATGTCCAATGTCGCGGTCAAACAGAAAAGTCTTGAGACAGACACTGAAGGAGGCACGGGAAAGGGTGAGGCATAGGGACTTCAGGCAGGATTTACAGAAAGTGAAGCAGAAAGCCCAGCCAACAATGGTGGGGTGGGCAAGGCAGAGGACATGAAGCAGGCCAGTGCCTGCCGAGCAGAGGGAGCAGGCAGATTGATAGAGTTTTAGTAGGTCACGGGGCAAGACAGTGGAGCAAGACCATGTTGGGCTTTAAAAGTGAGGACGAAGAAGAGGATTAAGTTCAAGATCTTCGTCCTTGAGCTTGATCCTCTGGGGGATGGGGACCTTGTGAAGCTAGGTGATGGGCTTGCGTAGCTTGGGAGCAGGAAAGGACAAAAGCTGCAGAGTTCTAAATGGTTTGCAGTCTGTGAAGCGAAGAATGGGAAGCCTGGTTAGTAGAGAATTGGTGTAGTCTAGCCTGGACGGGATGAAACCATTCATAAGACGGCCCGATGGGAGATGCATTAATTGTTTGGCAGTGCAATATCTCCACTGTCAGAACGCTTCTTTGATAGCAAGCAAATCAAAGATTGGAATCATACTATGGTCAGCATTTTACTACTGTTTTCAACAAACTTGAACGTAAAAACAATGTAACTCATCCAAAACGCATTATATAGCTCAAGACATTTATTCTGGTACACTGAGTCAGCAAGATTACTGTATATGAGAAAAAAAAGTGCACTTACCAAACCAATTCCTTCAAAAGCAAATATTGCAGACCCAAAAAAAAGTGGGTACTTTTTCCAGCTGGCAACCAGAGGGAGTTTCCCTGAATGAGTTATGTCCTAAATGGATGAGTAGGTAGGAAGTAGGAGAGAAAAGAAAAAGCAAACAAGTTATAGCCTCTTTTTAAGCCTCTGGAGTGACTAATCAATTTGACAATAATGCATATCTTTAGCAACAATAAATGTGATGGACTTAGATTTACCTCAGACCTCAGTAGCATATGTTTCTACCAAAATCAGTTTCAAACTGTTATAGTTGCATCTCACCACTTCATCAGAAGAACAATGACAGTGCACATAAGGTTTACAAAATATTCCTTGCAAAACCTTAACTATTATTTTTCTTTGTTACATTTTAAATCTGCAATTTTAACCACCCACAAGCCATTACATTCAACAACAAAATATTCTTGCCACAGATACAGACAATTTCAGAAACAAAACAAAATTGTAGGGCACGTAAACGATTAAAGCCTGGAGTCCTATAGCTCAGTGGCTAGAGAACTCGCCTCACAAGAGAGAGACCTGGATTCAGTTCCCAGCAGAGCGAAACCTTGGACAAGTTACTGTTTGTGGGACACTCTGTGCGCAATTGGCTGCTGCATTTTGCCCACAAAATATACAGTCAATTCACTTTACAGTATATTCTGTGAAGTGCGTTCTGAAGACGTGAAAAGCGCCATGTCAAATGGAAGGATTATTATTTAATTTTCAAGCCACATTTTCCTTCCAATTCAGCATTGAAAAGGATTTGAGACACGAAAATGTACAAGATACACAGTTAAGGCCATGGAATGTTCTCCTGACGTAAATGTGTTGTATAAATGTAAATTTTTATTGTATCTATTGAACCTTTTGAAAAAGTGATGAAGAAAAAGCAGTAAAAAATGGAAAATAATAAAGAAAATTTTTACTCATTTATTTTATAATTCACAAAATTCTCATTAAAGTTCCCTTTCTGGAATTTCATCCAATGCTGACAATTTTGCACTGAGCCTATTTTTCTGCTTGGGCAGATATTTGACAAACCACTCATTTTTACAAATGTGTGATTTATGCACCTACTGCAAGTGTGGCACGTTAAACAGATGTTTTGACAATAAATGCCACTATAGCACAACTGATCCATGCCACTGAACTCACACTCCTGCACATCTGAAATAAAGTCAAACACTACTCTCAAAACTGCTGAATATCACTTCACAAAAGGTAACAACAGACACTGATATGTGGAAGCTTTCTGCACCTGTGTGCTTAGCATAGAAACCAAGCCATGCAATGCTAGAAGCTAGATGTGTACCACATTTCTGGTATACTGCTGGTCCACAATACACCCGCATTATAACCAGATGAGTACACCAGAACATCCTGTATGATGGGACCTGTCTCTATATTCTCAAAATATATAACATTAGGATATCTGCAATGCCTTTGATTTAAAAATAACCCCTTTGCATTAAAATCTAACTACTATTATCTTCATCCAAGCTTTATTTTTTTTTAATCACAGCATGCTTCTACAAGTGAAACTTGCAATCAGTTTTAGATTGCAATATGCATATTTCCTATCAGGCACTGAAAAAAAGTGTTATTCTTACACCCCAAAGCAAAGGTAAGCTTAGTCCAGTGGGAAAGCAATTAAAAATCCAAAATTCTGATATAAAATCACACGAGATTCAAAAAACTTATTGGGCAGAGACAGATTCAAAATAACATATTGGGCAGACACACTCGGGGCCAATTTGAACAGACCATTAGCAAAATAAGAGATTGAATCCTGGTAATGTAGAACTGTTCAATTGTTTGCAAGGCAGTGAGCTGCCATGCTATGAAGAACTAATTCATCTCACCATTTGTTTGTATGTAATGAAAGCAAAACTTACCCACATAATATATTGATAGATAATGACGAGGCTGGCTGCCATAGCAAGATTAGCCAGGAAGGAGAACACTGCAAGGTATTTCAGATCACGGATGAACACAAAGCAGATCAGAAAGGGAAGTAAAAACAGCATATAGATCCTCGAGTCAAAATTCCAGTCTTCAGGTCTATTTTCAGTGCTGTTGAGGTTATTGTACTCCGTATGATTCCTCAGAAATCCTTCTACCACCTGAGGAAGAAAATATAAACATTATTTTTTAAAAATAACTTATTCTGGGTACCAGACAAATCCGTCAACCATCAAAACATCTAGATATTCTCAGAACATGTAAACTGTCCACATGATCAACTAATATAAAACAGGATAGTGATTCTGAGATGTGAGTGAATACTATTTTCTTGTATATTCACATAAAACATCAAACATTCAATAAAATAATTTCAGCCATCACAAACCAGAATTTAGACAACAATAAATGATATAAAAAAAGAGAATAATTTGGTCACTCAATCAATGACTATTTGTGGAAGACTGCTGTCCGCAATTGGCTGACGCGTTTCTCCCACAAAATATAGTCAAATCACTTTATAGTATATTTAGTGAAGCACTTTGAGATGTCTCAACAACGTGATAAGGCGCTATATCAAATGCAAGGTTTACCATAGGATTATTATTAAGTAAAGAAGTGCCCAGTGACTATTTTGGACTTCCATTTCAGAATCAAGAATTTACAGGTCAAGTACAGGAAAGTATCATATGGAGAATGAAGCCCTGTTTGCTCTATTGTTGCTTATGGACATATTACAATAAAATTTAATCATATTCCACATTCAGATGACATCTCAAAGTGTTATTGCTCCTTGCATTTGATACAGTGCCTTATCACTCTGTTATAGGGCTTCATGCGATTTTACTATAAGATGGAGTGTGGATTTGTCAGTGATCTCCACAGATAAACAGCCATGAAGAGAATGACTTAGAGCAAAAGGTTCCACCAAATGAGCCAGACTGATGCACTTTAAAAAAAGATATACTTAAAATGCAAAGTAATTCCACATACTGCACAACTGACTCGAGAATATTAAGTTTCTTAAAAGTCTACAGTGGTTAAGGAGCCAAACTTTAACAAGGGCCAAATCACACCAGCTACATTTACAGTCCAGCCAAATTGATCACATGTGAGTCAACAGATGGGTACCAATGCACATTGCTTAATGATCATGCTTCAGTAATAATGGAATTTTTCACATTGATTCAGTATAAACATGACAGAATAAATTGGGTATTACCATTCTCAGTTCATATGCAATACATTACTAAGAATTCAGTAAGGAACCAAATAAATCCGCAGTGCCCTCTAAAAAGAAAGTTTTTTGATTTTAAAAAAATGCCTCTCAAAAAGCTCATGTAAACATGCAGCAACTGAAACTTTTAAATACAAAGTTTTCAGGTTTTGAAACCATCAAATTATAAATACTGTAGTTAATATCTAACCTGTAAATGATACTCACATGAATGAGCACAAGGACAACATACAAGAGGGATGACACTGCTGTGAAATGATATCCCAATGCATATCATAGCCTCCGGACAAAAATAAAATAGTAAACTATTGTAATTTTTTCCACTATTTCATTCAGACTGCATACGTGCGTAATGCTACACGGAATGTAAATTAACGTTAAATTATTCAATGTGCCTGAAAGCACATCCTTTGCACCATGTCAATAAATTGATCAATTTTGAGATCCTTCATCATCTTTATGTCATGTCTGAAGACCTTCCTTTTTGACTGTATCACCTCCCACCAGTTTGGTGTCGTACTCCACCACTGCCAGGTGCTGTGGTATGCGACCCTGACTGAGGCCCATTATATAAACGCAGGTTGTTGTTGAATACAACCATTTCACCCACAAAACAGTCAATCCACTTTATAGTATATTCTGTGAAACATTTTGAGACATTTCGACAATGTGATAAGGCGCTACATCAAAGGCAAAGATTACTATTTTTGTTATGCTTGGATAACAAGTAAATGTTCTTTCCTCCTCTGCAGGATTTTTTTTCTACCTGAAATAGCTTTGAAACAGTTTCAACCAAGTTCATAGACAAAAGTGTTTGTAATTGGACACATCTTGGCCATACATTGGCGACCGCACAGGTACATTGATAAAAGGATGACTATGTTGAAAAATAAGCAAGTCCAAAAGTTGTGATAAGGGTGCTTGTTATACATCAATAAGGTTAAGAAACCTTATTGCCCGAGAGTAGAGAGGCTTGCTCTGTGTGTGGCTGAGTTCTACTTGATGTAGGAATACTGAATAGGATAGAATAATAGCATTTGATATAGCGGCTTATCACGTCTTCGAGATGCCTCAAAACACTTCACAGAATATACATTTCAATATTGATTCTTGTTGCTATTAACTAAGATTGAATATGTTTTCCACAAATAACCTCCAATGAAGGTAACACAGGGAAAACGCATAATAAATGTCTTAATTGGTTACTAAGATACATTTTTAACTATTCAGTAGATTCATTTTTCTCAAACACAAAAAAACTAACTCACTTTGATTGAGCAACAATTACCCTTTATACATTTATCCTCCACACTAGAGCATAAGAATTAGGAGCAGTAGGCCATTCGGCCCCTTGAGCCTACCCCACCATTCAATACGATTATGGCTGATCTTTTCTAACTCCACCTACCCGCCTTATCCCCATATCTCTTAATCCACAAGAAATCTATGAATCTCAGTCTTGAATATGTTCACGGACTGAGCATCTGCGGCCTTTTGGGGTAGAGAATTCCATAAATTCACTACCCTCTGAGTGAAGAAGTTTTTCCTCAGCTAAGTGTGAAAGGGCTTACCCCTAATTTTAAGACTGTGACCCCTGGGTTTAGTTTCTCCAACCAGGGGGAAAAGCCTCCCACTATCTATTCCGTCGTGTCCCTTTATAATCTTATAGGTTTCTATAAGATCACCTCTCATTCTTCTATATTCTAGAGAATATAGGCCTAAATTGCTCAACCTATCCTCATAATTCATCCCCCTCATCCCAAGTACCAACCTAGTGAATCTACGTTGTACCCCCTCCAAGGTGAGTACATCCTTTCTTAAATAAGGAGACCAAAACTGCATACAATACTCGAGGTGTGGTCTCACCAGGGCCCTACACAGTTGCACCAAGACTTCCCTACTCTTATATTTGAACCCTTTTGTAACAAATGCCAACATACCGTTAGCCTTCCTAATTGCTTGCTGTACCTGCAAACTTACTTTTTGTGACTGGTGTACAAGGATACCCAAGTCCCTCTGAACGCTAACACTATCTAGTCTCCCCCCTTCTAAAAAATAATCTGCTCTACTGTTTTTGCCACCTAGGTGGATGACTTCACACTTCCCTACAATATACTTCATCTGCCACCTATTTGCCCACTCATCTAGCTTATCTATATCACGTTGCATTTTTTTTTAATGTTATCTTCGGTGTTTACTCTCCCTCCTAGTTTAGTGTCATCCGCGAATTTGGATATATTAAGTTCGATGTCCTCATCTAGATCATTGATGTAGATTGTAAATAGTTGAGGCCCAAGCACTGATCCTTGTGGCACTCCACTAGTCACATCCCACCAACGTGAGAAGGACCTATTTATCCCTACTCTTTGTTTTCTTCCCATTAGCCATTCTTCAATCCATGCTAATATATTCCCCTTAACTCCATGGGCCCTAATCTTGTGGATCAACCTTTTATGCGGCATCTTATCGAATGCCTTTTGGAAATCAAATACACTGCATCCACTGATGTAGTGTATTTAGTACTGACTACATGAGTCAGGGCAGTTTATCCAGAGAAATTGCAGTTTGTCCTGTCCATATATTCAGCGAGTACCCAGGTTCACATTATACTATATAATTAGAATTCCTCTCCCTTTCAAAGTTCCCATTTTTTCATTCAAGAAGGCATAATGCTTAAAGATGCACGATCTGATGCTCAAAGATGAAGCAACACAATTCGGGGTTTAATTTCCCTTATGCAGCAGATATTTGCTCAGCATTTCATCTCAACTCCCCCTTCTCGACAGTCAACCCAGGCTCTCTCCTCAGGCTCTGTTCCACACCCCCTGAAACCCATTGTTATCACACCCCTCCTGAAAAAACCCTTGATCCCTCGAATCTCTCACACTACCATCCCATCCCCAAAGTCATGGAATACATTGTTTCAAGTCGACTTTGGTCACATCTCTCCCTCCACTCCCTCCTCAAGCCCCTGCAGTCTGGTTTTTGCCCTGCCCACAGCACAGAGACAGTACTTTTCAAAGTAACAAATGACACCCTTTCTATTTGTGATCAGGGCTCCCTCTGCCTCCTCGTTCTCCCAGATCACTCTACTGCATTCAACACAATCGACCACGCCATCCTCCTCCTCGACCTTTCCTCCCTCATCCACCTTAGTGGGACCGCACTCGCATGGTTCCAGTCCTACTCAACTAACCACCTCCATTTCATCTCGGCAAATGGTTTCTCCTCCTGCCCCGTCACCTGCGGGGTAACCCAGGGGTCCATCCTTTGGCCCTCTTCTTTTCCTTATCTGTATGCTCCCTCTAGGCGATGTCATCTGCAGACACAGGGTAAACTTCCACATGTATGACATCAAGGCCTGGATAAGTACAAACTTCCTGCAGCTGTAGGTGCACAAGATAGAAGCCATACCCTTCGGCTCCTGTCAACATCTTTACCCCTGAGGATCTAAACTCCTCAACCTCCCTGGGCTCCCCCTCACACTCTGTGCACAGTCTAGGTGTTCTGTTTGACCCCTAGCTGTTCTTCCTCCCCCACATCCGGTCCCTGACCAGGACCTCCTTTTTCCACCTCTGTCACAGTGCCCGCCTCCGACCGTACCTTACCCCAAATGCAGCCGAAACTCTCGCACACGCGTTTGTCACCTCCCACCTGGATTACTCAAACGCACTCCTCGCCGGTCTTCTCAGCTCCACTATTCAAAAGATCCAGCTCATTCAGAAATCTGCCGCCCGCATACTGACCCGGACCAATCTCTCTACCCACATCTCACCAGTTCTGGTCCAGGCTCCATTGGTTCCCCATCACCGAATGGATTGACTTCCAAGATCCTCGCACTCATGTTCAAATCCATTCACTCTCTGGCACCTCCCCAACTCTCCAACCTCTTCACTCCCAACCCACCACCCGATGCCTCCACTC